ACTCCTAGATCTCGCCCAAGCATATCATGTGGCAATATCTCGTCAAAAGTACCAATCCCATCACCCCAAACTTAACTGGTCGGAGGCCCTTGCGCTCTCCCTACACGCTATTTGCCACGCATGCGGGGACACATGTAGCCGCGCTATTACTACAGCCGGGTAACTTCCCACACCCCTTTTTTATACGCAGAAATTTTCCGAAACAGATAGCGTCAGGGTCACCTTTTCATGCCACACTCGTACATATGGCGTGGACTGGCAAGCACTGCAACACAGGTACCCAAAAGTCGTGGGAGTCCATGTTTCAAGCCTCGGAGCCAGAAGACCAACGCTGGCTCGTCCAGTGTGCGGTGGAGCTTGTATCTTAAAAGGCCGATTCCCGCCAACTTCCTTTGAGGCGGCCTAACCAGTGTTTGCACTAGTCCTCTCTTTTTTTTGTTTCTGCAATAAAGCGTTCACCACCAGGCTAACACTCATGCTTCGGGAGTGCGAGGCAACTAACTATACGATAACCGCGATACGGCAAATTTTCAAGCGCAGATATCCCATTATGAACAAAATATGAAAAAAAAAGCTGTGACTTATGACCGTGCCCTTGTTAAATGAAAAAAGAAACGTTACTCTGAATGATTTTATCGGGTCTTCTGTCAACGTATATTAGAAATGCGCATGATTAATAAAAGAGTGAATAAAAATGTGTGAATTTCGTTAATCTTCGAACGCCATTGAGGGCGGCTACCACTGTCCCTATTGGCAGGTTTAGGCTCACGTGATGACAGGATTTGCTGCCGTTTTTGTTGGTGCCGGGATAATCGATATCGCCAAAACGACAGTCTCCGTTAATCAAAAGCGTTTCGGGGCTTTTCCGCCAGGGAAAAGGCACATGCGCCGTGGCATCAGCAGAAAGGCAAATTCCGAGGACCGCGGTGGCTCATCAGCCGCTGCTTTTTGCTCTACGAAGCAATATTTTGCAACTTCATTCCAATATGTGGCGCTGAGAGACAAAAAAGTGGCCGCTGTGCACATTAGTTGAAGTTTTAACCGACTGTACATGATTTCTTTACTACTTAGATCAGGATTTCTCAAGCGTGTTGGCGCCAGCGAGACCTGCTAAGCTACATTAAGTGCCAAAGAACCCCCTCCCCCGCGGCGAGCGTTTTTCATTTTTATTTTCAATTAATTGTGCAACCCACGTGATGTGCACTGTTTTATTCTTTTTTAAGCCTTCCAATTTTTCACGTACACGAGCGGCACCTATTTTCAAATTGCCGAAATTCTCATGGTAGTAATATTAGGCCCCCGAGATTTAAGCCACCGCGCGTCAATTTTCGGAGTCTAGCTTGCTACAAATTGCTCATGGGGTTTATTGTGCAGCTCGCGCGTTTCTGTTACGCACTGAGATGTGCCTCTTGACGCTTTGGCATGAATCATGAAGGTTGTCTAGATCGATCACACCTCAGGATCGCCATCCAAGTTAGTTGAGTGGGCGAGTGCGGAACCAGGGAAAGTTTATCAGTGACTCGCGGAACTCCAAGGGGGGGCCTGCGGAAGCTACTTTGAGGACCCGTGGCTTAGATATAAAAAAAATGGCAGCATATCTACGGGGTGAATGATGGAGAGTGGGGCGAAGCATCCATCCGTCTGTGTGACCGTCCGTGCGTCCATCTGCCCGTCCATGCGTCCGTCCCTATGTTCGTCCATGCATCCGCCCCTGCGTTTGTCCGTGCATCTGTTTGTGGGTACGTTCATCCATCTAGTCAACACTCCAAGTACCACCATCTCGCATCTTTTAATATATTTCGCATATAGAAGCACCGCCATCCAGCGGACATTCCAAGGACTAATCGAGAGGTGGCACACGCACACTTTCTTACGGCTTGCGCTTCGTGTGTGCTTCCCATTTTTAACCATCCCGAGTTCATGGTGCATACTAGTTCACTGTATTCATGGGACTGCGGCCCGACGCTTTCTAAGCCTTTCTAAAACCAAGGAGGTTATGCCCTGCGAGTATAACGTAGCAACCCTTTCTTGTCAGATAGTGCTCAATGTACATGCCAATGGCTGCTAAGGGGGAATGAGAGGCATGAGAATTCGGCTTTTAGTTAACGCGCACGCTGCGAATTTTTTATTGTTCAACAACGCACAGGAGAAATCTCCCACCGGCACCACCTCGCAGGTAAAAGCGTAAGACATGTTACGTGCTACGACGAGGGACGAACGGGTGCCGCGTTAAGGAGCCTCGCCCCTAAAAGAACAAAATGACTTTAATCATTCGCGTACGCTTGCTCTATCGACCACACGACGTCTTGGCCTCGATGTCTCTAAGCAAGAGGGAAACCATTTACAAGGTAACACATTTTGCGGCCGAGATAGCCTGTGGGGTCGATTCCCAAGAACATTCGTATATCATCTGCAAAATATCAACAGCGAATATAGCTGGGAAAGTATTTTAAATTCATTTTGAAGGTTGCGTGAGCCCTCGACTCCATCGCGCCATTGACACCCTCGGAGGGGACCCTGAGGTGACCCCCTACTTCTCTCACGTCACCGCGCTGCTGTCAACAAAACAAGTTATGAGGACGCCATAGCCGCCTTTTTTTTGTCGTGTTTGTTGCCGCAGTTTATACTTTTTGGCGGCTGGTTGCGAGTGCGTGGTCGTGGCGCACGCTTAGAAAGATTTGTGTTTGGCGACACTGCAGTCCCATTTACTATTCGAAAGGAATTCCTGATGGGGACCGTGCGGAAGTGTCTGTGTGGTGACGTGGCCAAGATCTGCACACGCTAGATGGCGACAGTTGCACCCAGTTTTTTGAGCTCTCTCGAACCGAAACTGATCGATAATGAGGAGCCTGTAGTTAATTATCGGTCGTGTGCTGCGTCAAACGATGTGTCGTGTCATGACTAACAGGCCCCCAGCAACACATTGGAGCAGAAAAACGTGAGGCAAAAGTTTTTGTGCCAGTACCCCTTTAAGTGCCTCGCGCTATGCACGCGGCAATGTTGTCGGAAGGCGGAGTTGCCGACCGTCCGGCTCGTGACGCCATTCTCGAGTGCGCGCCCATTGGTGGATGGTTATGTGCATTCGCCTTTGAGGAGGAAATGCTTCAGACTTCGAAAGTTGTATCCGTCTATGAAACTCTGAAGCGTAAAAACTACCAATCAGTGAATATGGAATTTCAGATGACATGACCATACGAGGTGCACATATACCAACATAGCGAAATAATGAATACCTCATGGACCGAATGCTTCGGTACATATTCAGGCAACGAAATATTGCCGTGATATCCCATACATTTTGGCCGTGTCCTGTTTTTGCTGTCGCAGGATGCAGATTATTATTATTATTAATAATATATTATTATTATTATATTGTACCACTAGCATAGATTTTGCGCTTTTATCGTTGCACCCATGCGCACTCGTTTCGATGCCCCGCATTACAGAATGTCATCTACCATCAAAGTCTTGGAAACAAGAGAGCGGACGCTATTTTGCGTTTTTTTTCTAGTTGGTGTGAATAGATTTTTAATGCACCAATTGCACCAGTTCGGGCGTCAGTATGTCGCACAACACCAAACGTCATGCCTGCGAGTGATGACCTTATTGAAGACAGTAGCGTGCACGCCGTCCTAAAAGTACCGGGTGTGGGGCGTTAAAGTGACGAGCAGTTTAGAACATTCACTCAAGGCACTTGCACCCAGAGGTGTTTATTTCGATCATGGGTCCTCGACTAGATGTGTGAAAGCGAATCGGCGTAAAACGGGCTCGTAATTCAAGCAAAGAAATCGTCTCTTGAGTTTCTGAACTAAAACCAGCATTGTGTTGTTAGCTCGCGCGGCGCGTGTAAATCGTTTCTTTGTCCGTAGCGCAATACATTGCATCGCAGGCACAACAAGGGACAATTATTCAAGCTCTGCAATTTGCCGAATACAACATTATCCATGTTATAGTGTCTGTTAAGTATGAGTAGTGCATAACTCGATATTCGCTTCTTAATTTTTTCTGTTTAGTCGTAGTGGCTGTGCAAGTTCGGGTGCGCATTAGGCTTGGTGCGTCCAGTCATGTTCCTGAGTTTTGGATCCTTGTTCTAATGCTCAAAATACTTCATTTCAGTGCACGTTGTGGGATTCCTTGAAGACTTACGAGTTTTGACAATTATTCTTACCACCACAGGCTGAAGGTATCGTTGTCATCGCATTGAAACTCCGCAGTTCACATGATCTACCAGAAGCAACTGTGTCTTGTGGCCGAACGCAACATGAAACAACGTAGCTGCTGCCACTAACGCTCTGCCGTAATCTTACGCTCATGTTGTACGGCAACCATATGATTGGTTAAAATGGTGGCTGCTTGTTGAGCGATGGTCGGTTAGTGCGATTTCACTTTTTTGTTCTTATTTGACACAGTAGTTCGTGGAATTTGACAAAGCTTAAAATGGTGACGAAGGCTATAGCGACCGGAGATTATCAAGTGTGCTGCCTTACAGGCTAAATCGAGACTTAGCTATGAAGTTGAGGGAAATGCACAGGACATTTTATATCATACTCTGCTGCTTACGGAAATGAAAGTTGTGAGAACTAGTTGTTGCACAAGTGAGGAACGTCAATTTTTATTCGTTTTGGTGCGAAACGTCCTTCATTAATCCAGCAAAAAGGTACATTGCCTTGCCAAAGCAGCTTGCGTCGGTTCAAGTTAACACTTACACAAACCATTATTACGGGGTGACGTGTAACGGGTGATACTGGGTCATGAAATGTGAACATTGTATAAGGCAAAAAACGTGCCTTCACAGCGCTTCTTTACCATAAGAACACCAATGGCCACTGCAGCAAGCCGTCACTGATTTCGTGCTTGCTGTGGGTTTTAAATGGGCCAAGAACAGATTTGAAATGTCGGCGCTGGTGAAAAAAAAAGCCTGTCAGCGAACAGGTTTGGTGCACTTTTCCGTTCTCTTGATCAAGGTGGCCGCCATCTGTCCTTGCAGGAAACCGTCCAGCATGTCCATCATCATCCGACTGCAGAACTTGCCTTTGGCTGCAAAATCGGTGGACATTCGTCGCTACTTCCAGGGCCTCACCATTCCCGTGGGCGGTGTCCACATCGTCGGTGGCGAGAAGGGGGACGCCTTTATCGCCTTCGGCAGCGACGAAGATGCGCGCCAGGCCATGGAACGTGACGGTGGTAAAATCAAGGAGGTCCGCATCAAGCTAATGCTGAGTTCACGCGCCGAGATGCAGCGCATCATCGATCAGGCGCGCGCTCAGCACACTGCACCCCCGCCCATCAAAAAAGAAGAGCGCCGCCGCTCCAGTCCTGACAACCGCTCTCGAAGGCCACCACGGGACCGTTCACCGAGGCGCCGGTCGTCGCGGCGGGACCGCAGTCACAGCCGCTCGCCACCGTACCGTAGCAGGGACAAGGACCGATCGAGATCGTCGCGTTCCGATGAGCGCCGCCGAAGTTTTGATGACCCTGGCCGAGCGCCTGAACCCGCAAAAGTTTCTAATGGCCAGACGTCGAAACGCAAGGTTGGTTGGGATGAAAAGCCACCTTACACAGATCCAAGCAAAGCGACACCTCCTGTCTTCCCTATCGGTAACATGAAGCAGGCGGCACGGCCGCAAAGTGACGTCAACCCGGCGGCACAAATGAACATGGCTTGCCAACCCGCAGCTCTCCCAAACTTGGCGGCTTTCAACCTGCCTCCTGTTAACTTGATGAACAACCTGCCTGGTCTTGCAGCTAATATGATGAGCGGTTTAATGGGCCCTACTGGTGGTGACATGATGGTTGGCATGACGGGTAACATGGCTGAAGGCATGCCTGCTAACATGGCCAATAATCTTCCCAGCAATCTTGCCGGTCAAATCGGCGGTGGCATGCCAAGCAGCATGCCCGCCAATATGGCCGGAAGTATGCCTGGGAACATCGCTAGCCAAATGCCTGCTGCCATTCCAGGTGGTTTGGCTGCCAACATTCCTGGAAATATGCCTGGTCATATGGGGGGCATGACAAGCGCTGCCGGTGGCATAGGCGCCAATGTGAGTGGCGGGATGGCTGCTGCGATGCCTGGTAACGTGCCTGCCAACATGCCGGGTGCATTCGGGATGGCTGACGCGATGGGTGCGCCAAACATGGAAAACATGGCTCCCGGCTTCGTAGATCGGCGTTCGAATGGCAGTGGCAAAGTTGAGCGAAAGAGCGAAGGAGGACCTCCTGGTGGAGCTCACGATGTGCCCCCACGTCATGCAGAGGAGAGTTGCTGTGTCGAACTGCGTGGCCTTAGCGGTGCGCCGACTCCGCGGAATGTGAAAGATTTTTTCCGAGGACTACGTATATTCAGTGGCTGCATTCGTGTGGCCACTTCTGAAACTGGCATAAAGAGCGTGGTGGTACGTTTCGCCAACAAGTGGGATGCTCGTGAAGCTATGCAGGGTGACTACAAAGTACTGTGTGGAGATCCGATTCAGATAGTTCCTTTTCCTGAAGACCTTTTTGAGCAAACTGAACTGCTCGTATCCCCATCTGCTGCACTATCAAACCAGAGTCGCAACCGCGAAGCGGACATGGTCGTTGTAATGAAGGGCCTTCCTTACAATACCAGCGAGCAAGACGTACTGCAGTTTTTTTCGGGGATCAATGTTCTGGACCTCTTAGTGGAGCATGATCGTAGTGGTCGTGCAACCGACATGGCATTTGTGGAATTTGGTGACAAGCGAGACTTTGAAACGGCCATGAGCATGCAGAGACGGAAAATAGGCCACGGTTACATTGAACTCTCTGTTGGCACTCGTGATGTCATGTGTGCGGCCCGAAACGGCGATAATATCAAGCCAGATGGCATGCCGGTGGGTCGGCGAAATGAAGAGCATAGGCATGGGCCTCTGCTTGACCGCGATGGTCCGCCTAAGCGGCCACTGCTGGAGCTCGCGTCAAGGCCACCTCTGTTCCCGGAAGGCGGACCCCGTCGTCCCCCTCTCTTCCCGGACCGCGGAGGGCCCCTTGCTGACCACGGAGGGCCCCTTCCTGACCGCGGAGGGCCCCGTTTTGACCGCGGAGGGCCTCTACCTGATCGCGGAGGGCCCCTTCCTGATCGTGGAGAGCCACTGCTGAGGGGGCCACGCCACGAGGAACCGCCGCTGCCGCCGCGCGGCATGGATAGTTTCGGCAAGCCAGGTTGCGTCGTCACAGCCACCAATATTCCTTACCGTGCGGGTGTCGAGGATATCATAAACTTTTTTCAGGGCTTCGAATTGACCAAAGAGAATGTTATGCGGCGTTTCAACGACCGGGGTCAGGTGACGGGTGACGCACGGATTGCTTTTCCAACACCGCGAGACGCGCAGGAAGCCCTCGCAAAGTTCAACAACCGACCGATGCAAGGCAGAGCCATCTCCCTGGGCCTGCTGTGAACTCTCTGGTCATCACATTCATTCAGTGTGCATATGTGTGTTTTCGTTTGAGTTAAGCAGGACAGTACTTGAATGTGTTATCATAAACTTCATTGTCACTGTACAAAAGCATCATCGAATGTTAAACTGCCGATGTTGGCTCGCAGGCAAGTTATTAAAGGTCACGTTGGTCTCTGTTTTGCGCCTTACTCACTCCTGGGATGTAACTTCCTAAGGTTGGTTCAAACACATTCTCGCAATGAAAACCATGTCGGTTGGTCATGTGTCTTGGCTGCTGCTAACGAAAATTAATCATTTGGATTCGACCGATCTTTCTTTGACCCTGCCATTCACAGGTCAGTCACGTTTCTCCGTTCAGGCGTGCACAAACGTAGTAATAGACGGTTCTACTAGGTGAAAGAAGCTGCTGAAATGTCATGTAGTTGAATTTTCTGAAGCCTTAATTTATACTGTTTGACTTGTCTTGGTCAGCTTGGTAGAGCGTCTATTGGATAAAGCGAATCGGTCGTCGTTTATGCTTTGTAGTGGCAAAGGTGGACACAGAATGCTGCATTTGTCAGTTGTATGCTTCCTGGATAACACGGACTATTGCAAAAGGTAAGTGAATGTGTCGGTCGACGAAGGTGTACGAGTCCGCTGCGGTGGCACAGACTTTACGGTGCTCGGCCGCTCACCCAAAAGTCGTGGAGTAGGTTCCGGCTGCGGCAGTCGCATTTCAATTGATGCAAAAAGTTTCAAAAAAAAATATACTGGAAATCATAAGTGCTGCAGCGGGCCAACAGCTAATAGGATGAAAGGCGAGGAAAACTGGTGGTGTCACGGGAGGCACCATGAGACCACGCACGCGCTAACCGACCGCGCTGTTTCCGGGCAGCGGCTCGGCGACAACGAGGTTGTGGTGAATAGGGACGCGCCTGTCGCGAACAGTAGGTGACAGTATACCGGGCGTACCGTGATAGCGGAATTGAAGTGCACACGTGCAGATATGTACGTTACCAGCACCGCTTACCGTTCGAGCGCTTTTTCAGATTTAACGTTACCGTAGGTGTATGTAGTGTTCGAAACGAGCGGTGCTTTCGGGCTCCCGCTTCGAAGTAATTTTGGCGTAGTTGTTGAGAGATTCACCTTGTTCGCAGCAAACGACTGCTTAAAGTGGCTTCGCTTGCCTTCAGTTAGCTTCGACGACCGAGTATCACGGATAAGTTGGCGTAGTTTTTGAGATATTTCCCATTTCAAACGTGTCTAGGCTTTTAACTACAAGATCGATTTTAACAAATCGGCAACATAAATGTTTTCACGTTTGGTGCGTGGTTCATGTTCAATTACTTTTGTTTTCACTAAAATGAACTTTAACAATGCTTCACGCGGTGGCACAGCAAGCATTGTTTTCTTTTACACTGTTCTTTAACTTACTAACCATCCCATAGGTGGTGCCACCGTCGTAGCTTGGGTTCGTAAACCACGTAAACGCTATCCCATTGAATAATATGTGGGGTTTAACGTCCCGAAACCACCATATGATTATGAGAGACGCCGTAGTGGAGGGCTCCGGTAATTTCGACCACTTGGAGTTCTTTAACGTGCACCCAAATCTGAGCACACGGCCCTCGGCATTTTCGCCTCTATCGAAAATGAAGCCGCCGCAGCCGGGATTTGATCGCGCGACCTGCGGGTCAGCAGCCGAGTATCTTAGCCACTAGACCACCGCGGCGGCGCGTAAACGCTATGCCACTAAACTATAAGACGCTGCCCGCAATGAACGTTTGCTGCGCCATAACGCCGTTTCCCTTAACCTCCGCTATCACGCTACCTGTAAACTATAACTAATCTCGAAATAGCTTTACTATATTGTCACGTTTCTTAAGACAAACTTAGTATAATGGGTTCGTTGAGTCGACTAGCCAAGCAGCAGCTCAGATAGATCGTCTTTGTCTCTTTTCACTCCTAGATCTCGCCCAAGCATATCATGTGGCAATATCTCGTTAAAAGTACCAATCCCATCACCCCAAACTTAACTGGTCGGAGGCCCTTGCGCTCTCCCTACACGCTATTTGCCACGCATGCGGGGACTTATGTAGCCTCGCTATTACTACAGCCGGGTAACTTCCCACACCCCTTTCTTATACAGCAGAAATTTTCCGGAACAGATAGCGTCAGGGTCACCTTTTCATGCCACACTTGTACATACGGCGTGGACTTGCAAGCACTGCAACATAGGTACCCCAAAGTCGCGGGAGTCCATGTTTCAAGCCTCGGAGCCAGAAGACCAACGCTGGCTCGTTCAGTGTGTGGTGGAGCTTGTATCTCAAAAGGCCGATTCCCGCCAACTTCCTTTGAGGCGGCCTAACCAGTGTTTGCACTAGTCCTCTCTTTTTTTTGTTTCTGCAATAAAGCGTTCACCACCAGGCTAACATTCATGCTCCGGGAGTGCGAGGCAACTAACTATACGCTAACCGCGATACGGCTACGGCCATGTGCGAGGCGGCCCTCTGCAGATATCCCTTCCTGGCGTAGCGGACACAACTTGCAACAGGCCCTCGGAGCTGCCGACAGGCTTGGCCTAACGGTCCCGGCGTGGAAGTTGCCCGCTGCGTGCTGACGTGCGTCTTGAAGGACCTCAATCAAATTACACACCCACCTTTCCGCCCTGCTGAAAAGGTCACACACAGCCGGGCGGTCCTTTGCAGATACCCCTCCCTGGCCTAGCCGAACAGCTCTGGGCCTTTTAGCAGGCCCGCAGAACGGCCAGCAGGCTTGGCCTAACGGTCCCGGCGTGGAAGTCCCCCGCTGCGTTCTGACGTGCGTCTTGAAGGACGTCAATCAAATTTCACACCCACCTTCCCACCCTGCAGAAAAGGTCACACGCAGCCTAGAGTTAGTGCGGCGCTCAAACCGTTCGCAGGCGCATTTTGTGATGTAATAACCATTTCATTTCCATCCGACTAAAATATCTCTTTGCTTGAAGAGAGACGAAGTATAAAAATAAAACTGCCATTGGAAATGTATGCTTTTGCTTTGTATTTCGGAAGCTTGCTTAACTTTCGGGGAGTCAGAATGGCTGAAGTACAAAAAGAAAACTGCACAAGTAATTAAAAAAACGTCAACCTTGGCCAAAACACGGCGTGGATTGTTCGTGCAAGTTTTAGTGCGTTACCGCCAACGCTATGGAATCGGGCGTCAAGAAGAAAAAAACGACGCTGACACACTGCTTCGCACCAGGCTGTTCGTCCGGCTACGTCTCGTCGAGGAGATCTGGTCAACGTGTGTCGCTGTTTTCCGTGCCGAAAGAGCCTGAACGCTTAAAAGCATGGCAGCGTGCAGTGCCACGTGCAGATCAAGTCCTCAACGCAAGCTGTAATCGAGCAGCTGCTCCTCGCCTTCTTCTTTGGTCGTATCCTCGCGTGGTACAGGGAGCAACGGCGTGGCTTCCCGCCTCCGCACAGGGATCTTACCCGGTGGGAGGCGGTGAGGTTGCGCCAGCTCCAAACCGAGACTGTGCTGACCCCATCGCTAGCGCGACACGTGTGCCCCGAACTCTACGTGAGTGAAATGTGCAGTGTGTGCGCGAGCGCGAGAGCCACCCTGGCTCACATACTCTGGGGATGTGACGCAGACAGCGCGGACGGTCCGGTGTTACCGCCGCAAGTAGAACAGCGTGTGGGGTCTACGGACCCAGAAGACCAGCGAAGGGCCGTCCGGCAGCTCGAGGTCGCACTGGCGCTGCAAAGGCGAAAGGGGGACACCCTCAGTAACCCGAGCGGCGACGGGGCACGAAGGCCTTGAGGTCTAGGCCCGCGTGACATTAGGACTTCTAGTGTAACGTGAGATAGGGTGAACCCCACGCCCTGCGCGGCCGGAGGGAATCCCGCATGCTGGAACCCAATAAAGTTTATTCTCTCTCTCTCTCAACGCAAGCTCAAGAATCTGCGAGCTGCATTTTGATGAGCAGTATATTGTGCGATCGTTTACGCACACGATCAACGGCGTGACAGTGACGATTCTTCGCGATCGACCATTGCTGACAAGCGATGCGATTCCGACTGTGTTCCCCAACCTCCCTCAGTATTTGTCGAAGAAGGCACCCCAGAAAAGAAAGTCGAAAACGTCGACCTGTGGCCTCCCTGCGAAGTCTTTGAGACACGAGACAAGTAATGCCGCGTGTATTGACGAGGTAGACGTTTTAGAAGAAAGAAGTGCGTCGCCCGAAGTAATCTCCCCAGTGCTTTCGAGATGCAGTTCAGGCGCTCTGAGGCCAGGAAACACTCATCATGGTTCTATTGAAAGCTTCCTGGAATATTTGGATGAGTGGGAAAGAGCAGCTACATCCGAAGGCTATCTAAGCCAGAGCACAGCTGAAGGCCTCCGGGTCACTCTTTCGAGCACTCTGCATTTGTTGGATTATGTAGTTACCAAGCTTTACTACCATTACTTTATGACAAGCCGGTGGTGCCAAGACTCAATTGAAAGGCTTTTAGGGATTGTGCGACAAATGTCAGGGTGTAATGACCACCCTACTCCGAGCCAGCTTTCAATCTCAGTAAACACACTAAGTTTCCAAAACCTCGTTAAGTCGCCTACACATGGAAATGTGTCTTCAGGATTCTTGAGAAACTTGGTAGGAACTGATGATGTCAGCAATACTCCTCAGCAAAGAATCGATGATCTTGACATAGGCAATCTTTCTGAGGCTCATGACGTGCTGAATGGTTGTGACCTCCTTGGCCACATTTCGATGGTTGTGCAAGCCAGTGACTTGAGGCTCATATATTACATGGCTGGCTATGTGGCAAGACGAAGTATTGCCAGCAGCAAGTGCACGGATTGTTGCCGACAGCTGCTTCAAGAAAAGGATGGGTCACCTTCAGAAACAGCATCCCTCACTAAAGCAGTAGACAGGGGAGGCCTTTTATACCTATCAGAGCAGCTAAATTCACTTGTGACAACACTTGAAAACACATTTACACGCTGCTTTAGTTTAAAGCAGGTGGGTAGTGATAGCC